ACAGAAGGTGAGGGGGTAAGAGCTACCAGGAAGGCCATTCTTAAGTATTTGAGTTAAACAGGATTGATTGGAAGAATTTAAAACAACGTAAATACAGTGGTATAATTCCACAAGTGGTGATAGGATGATATGGTGATACACACTCTTGTACAGTAGGTGGCGGTATGCACCTTAAAGTTGTTTGCAATCCGCCAAAAACCGAGAGGAGAGAAGAAACACGCACCGGAAGTAACAAACCACGCTCTGTTACAGTTGGTTCGCTGCTATCGATGAGTGGAGTAAACTAAGATACGATGTTATAGTAGTTTCGCGGGGAAATACTACACTTATATTTAGGCAATAATGTCTTCGGTTGAGTTTTGAGAGAGTTTGTTATCCGAGCGACTCTCTGCTGCTGCTGAAGAAATATTTGGAGTTTTTTCAGAAAAACCATCGTCAGAATATGAGGAGGAGATCAGACGGCAGCGCAGACTGCTGGATGTCGTTTTGAAAACCGGAAATACAAATACCAAGGATAGGTATGTAAAACTTACTCACTTCAATAGGCAGAAAACAAAGGAGAATTGTCAACGTTGCATATACTTAAGAGTGGACCTATCATGCTATATTTAAATGATATATTGTAGGGCCATACCTATATAAGATATATTTATACGTTTCTGTTTTCAAAATACCAAACAGATCATGCTTTTAGCCATGCCTCATTTCGCTCTATGTGCTGTTAGCTGTCTACGGGTCTGATTCTGCTGACCACGCCCCCCTGCAGGAGAGGTGAGCCGGTGCTCTGATCAGCTGCTGGGCTGGTCAGAAGAGGGGGAGAAAAAGAGATCTCCGTCCTCCGTGTTTTATTATATAGAGTCGTTATTCATTTGTTTTAAAGCTCAATAAATAACAAGAAGACCTTTGACCGGCACTTTTCTAATTTTGTCTGGAAGATTTAAACTTTAACGGACATCTGACCGGCGAAACAAACTGAAACTCTGCCGCACGGTCCCCTCGTTCCTTGGAAGAGGCGGAGAGGTGGGTGTTTGTCATCTGCTGGTGGACTAACCCGGAGAGAATTACAGTGCTTGCCCTCGACGGGGAGGGATTGCATTGCAGTGGGAGCAAACGCTTGCCTCGGGGAGGGAGAAAAAAAGCCACAGCGGAGAATAACACAGAAGGGTAACCATGGGTAACTATGGGCGGGAAGTCTTCTTCGCTGCTTTTGTGGCAGACTACAGCTGCCACTTACAGGCCTGGCATATGTACTACAAGCGTCCTCCAGCGCTTTCGAGCGGCAATGGCCGGCCGTGGCCCAACCCCACATTCCCCTGATAGGTGGAGAGTTGGCCCAATAGCCGTATGCGCCACCGTCCTGGACGTCAGGGACAGTGTTCAAAATCTGGATCAGTTTTTATCAGATCCGTTGCATAAAGCCGCCCCTTTTTTAGAGATTTTGGGTATGGAGGGAAATAGAGAGGTTGTGTTTTTCTGACACTTGGTGAGTTCCCTGGAAGCACCGGGGACACATATTCAATGTAATAAAAGACGTACAAAAGTGCATTTTGCATGATAGGTCCCCTTTAAGTTCCATTATGTGTACAGTCATTATCCTATTTTAATCTGTTCTCTGTCCCTCCAGAGCTCCCACAGCATCCTGTCTGTGAGGAGCAGGTTCTCTCTGAGCAGCAGCTCTGTATTCAGGAGAGGAACTCCAGTCTGGACCAAGAGGATCCAGAGCCCCCACAGATTAAAGAGGAGCAGGAGGAGCTGTGCACCAGTCAGGAGGGAGAGCAGCTTGGACTGGAGCCGGAGACTGATGCCTTCATGTTGACTGCTACTGAGGAAGAGAGTGAGCACCAGCTCCTCTCTCACAACTCTCATGTAGCTGAGAGCCAAGATCAGAAAGGAGGCGAGCAAGCCTCAGGATCAACTGGACATGCAGAGCCAAGACCACAGAATGAATATCACAGAAATCCCAGTTACGAAGGAAACAACATTAATTTGTCAGAGATGCACACAGGTAAACAGCCTTTCAATTGTGACTCATGTGGAAAATATTTTTTCTCGATAACAACACTGAACAGACACCTCAGAAGCCACACAGGTGAGAGGCCATTTCCTTGCAATACATGTGGGAGAGCTTTCGCAAATAAAAGCCACTTGAAACAGCATATTAGAATTCACACAGGGGAGAAGCCATTTCTGTGCCAAACGTGTGGGAAACGATTCTGTCGAACATCAACATTTAAAAGGCATATTATGAAATTCCACATGGGTGGAAGACGTTTTCTTGCAAAACATGTGGGAAATGTGTCCAATATGATGTTCAATTGAGAGTCCACATGAGAAGCCGCACAGGGGAGGATCCGCATTCTTGCATCATCTCTGGTAAAAATGTCGTATTTAGTAGTAACTTGGGAAGCCACACAGAAACACACACAGGGGAAAAGTTGAATCCCTGCTGCACAGAGCCTCCACAGATTGAAGAGGAGCAGGAGGAGCTGTGCACCAGTCCGGAGGGAGAGCAGCTTGGACTGGAGCAGGACACTGATGCCTTCATGTTGACTGCTACTGAGGAGGAGAGTGAGCACCAGCTCCTCTGTTCCTCCAAACCCTGCCCCCTCCCTAAAAATAATGAGTGACAGGCTAATAGTAACCTGATAGAAACGTTATTATTCACTTAATCACTGATTGAGATATGATGAAGCTAACTTAATCTCATACATTCATGGGATTTATGTAACAGTACGACAGAGAATAAGTGTGCACCCACATGCACTATTTTAGTTTTTATAATGCTGTTGTAAATACTCCTGTTGTCTGCTGTGTTCAGACTCAAGTCATGTGTGTGATTCAGGACCTTCAGTATCCTTTTTTTAACAGAAGACCATTGCTATAAGCTGCAGCTAGACTGCAGAAGCATTAGTTTTTTGTTTTTGATGGAACAATTTCACACACAGATATAGGGAGGCTAGACCAATACAATTGATTTAATATGGTTTATAATTTCATGTCAAGACGAAGAAAAAGAAGAAGATGGCTGAACTGTTCCGTGTCAATCCTGTGGAGATGGAGGTTATACATTTCCAAAATCATGTTCAGCTTAAGTCTCGGCAAAACTCACAACATTTCTGGAGCCTTGCAGACCCAGAAAACTATAAGAACATTCACCAAGCAGCACTGAACATGTCTGCTTTATTTGGTTCTGTTCTACATACCTTTGTGAAGCAGCTTTTTCTGACATGAATGAAATCTAAATACAGAACAAGACTGACTGATGAACATTTAAATGGCTCTATTAGAGTGAACCTAAGTGGGTACACTCCAGCATACACCTCTATGGGTGGACTCCATGCAGTGCCAGTCATCTCACTAACTGAAAAAGAGTGAATGCCACTTATTTTACACATGTACCATAAGATGCTTGTAAGGTGGTGATTAAGGCGATGTATTTACTATGTGGGCCATAATAATCCCTGGGCGCCGTATGGCAGCCCACTGCTCCTAACACTAGGATGGGCCAAATGCAGTGAAACCGTTTCGTTACATAGTACCTTTACTACATAATGACAATAAGTTGAATCTTCTTCAATAATAAGAAGTGAAAAAATTGTCTTTTTTTCTTGGACATTTATGTGAATTGTCAGTGAAGTACTTACTATGTGGGCCATAATAATATGTGAGAAATTGTCGTTTTATTGGACCTTGATGTGAAGTTAAGAATTTTGATAAGCTTTGGGTATTGTAATTTCACACGTGTACAAAAGTAGCTTAATTCAACTGATGAGTGCTATGTGAATACATGTAAGCGATGTGATGCAAGTAGCTCTTGGCCACTTTCATTTTTTCAAAGTAGCTCTCAGATGAAGAAAGGTTGGAGACCCCTGCTCTAGAGATTGAAGAGGAATGCTGCACCAACCGGGAACAATTGTAAATGGATTGCTCGTGAACCGAAGATCGATTCTAAAATAGAAACAATTAATGAAGTGGGAATTAAAACGAGTATGTACCTGAACGAAAAGTATTACAATTACCTCAACATTTACACAGATGGATCTAAGAAGCAAGAATGCGTGGGTATATCCCAAAATTCAAAATATCAATCTCAAAACGAGTGTCCAATAACTTATCAGTTTATACAGCAGAAATACTCGCAGCAATTATTGGGCTACAATAGGTTGAAGAGGTCAGACCTGATAGGGTGGTGATATGCACAGACTCACTCTGCTTTGAAAAGCATACAGTCGACAATAACTGTTAGAAAATATTTAATCATTGAATTTAACCATTGCTTATTGAGACTTCAGAGGAGGGGAATAGATGTGCAGTTATGCTGGGTGCCTGCACTTGAGGGGTTAAAGGGGATGAGCATGCTGATAAGTTAGCAACAGATGCGTTACAGAAGGAAATAGCAATACCAGTTTCACTTGGGAAAGGAAAAGGAAAAGCAATAATTAAGAAGAAGGGTATGGAAATATGGCAGAAAAGGTGGGAGGAAGATCAGAAAGGGAGGAGATACCACAAGTTACAGAAATCAGTCATAACAAAGATCTATACAGAAAGGAACAGACGGGAGGACATCATCATCACTAGACTCAGATTGGATCATACAGGATTAAACGGCACAATGTTTATAATGGGAAAAAGCGAAGTTGAAGAATGCAGGGGGTGTGGAGTGAAAGAAAACGTGGAACACATCATATTACACTGCAACATGTATAAAACAGAGGGAAAAACTAAGAGACAAGGTCAGAGAGGTAGGAAGGGAGTGGAGCCTGATGGGGATTCTGAGAACAGAAGGTGAGGGGGTAAGAGCTACCAGGAAGGCCATTCTTAAGTATTTGAGTTAAACAGGATTGATTGGAAGAATTTAAAACAACGTAAACACAGTGGTATAATTCCACAAGTGGTGATAGGATGATATGGTGATACACACTCTTGTACAGTAGGTGGCGGTATGCACCTTAAAGTTGTTTGCAATCCGCCAAAAACTGAGAGAAGAAGAAGAAGAAACACGCACCGGAAGTAAACAAACCACGCTCTGTTACAGTTGGTTCACCGCTATCGATGAGTGGAGTAAACTAAGATACGATGTTATAGTAGTTTCGCGGAAAATACTACACTTATATTTAGGAAATAATGTCTTCGGTTGAGTTTTTGAGAGAGTTTGTTATCGAGCGACTCTCTGCTGCTGCTGAAGAAATATTTGGAGTTTTTCAGAAAACTATCGTCGAATATGAGGAGGAGATCAAACGGCAGCGCAGACTGCTGGATGTCGTTTTGAAACCGGAAATAATAGGTATGTAAAACGTACTCTCTTCAATAGCAGAAAACAAAGGAATTGTCAACGTTGCATATACTTAAAGGTAGGGTAGGTAAGTTTGAGAAACCGGCTCGAGATACACTTTTTGTTATATTCCATGGAATGCTCTTAACATCCCGATAGCAATGAATATCTTAAGTGCTTTGACAAAAAATCCATAAAAAAATGTCATCTGTGGAAGCCGTAGTACTGTAAAAAGCACAACCAATCATTTTAGCCGGCCCGGCTAAAATAACTGGATGGCCTACCTGCCTGTCAGCCTTCCATCCATAGCCGTGGGAACATGTTTCAAATGGGGGGTGCTGTGGGGATGACACCAGGGCTGGTTCTGACCAGTTTGCTGCCCTAGGCAAGATTTTTGCTGGCAATGAAAAACCTCTACAAAAGACCAACACACTACAATAAGAGAAACGTATTGACATGGTGGACAGCTTATATAAAAAGGCTTCAAATGTATTTAGTATTGTATGAACATGTTTTAATTGTGGGGTGGACGTCACATCCGAGAGTGCTCCCCCGGGGAGATTTTTTTTAACATTTTAAAGTAAAATGCTTCAATCTGGTGCACTTTGAGCACACAATTACTAGAGACTGATCTAGGGGGTACAACTCTAAACACCTATATGAAAAAGATCGGTTTGCATTTTATTAACCAAATAAGTATGTGAACATAACCAATAACCTACCATAACCAATAACAAATAAATGTAACGTATTTTATTTTTGTGGTTCATTTATATCTTATTTTACCTAGTTAACATTGATTTATTGATGCATATTTTGTAATCTCTCCAGTTTTAAAGGATATTTTTGGTTTACTATCCTATAGTATAGGCTACATTGGAATGATTTCAAACCTGTTGTTATTTATCCTAATAATTATAAAGGTGTGCCTTGGGAAATATTTGTTTACATAAATTGTGACCAAACCGTTGAGACCCACTGAGATAACTTAGACTAAAGTGAACTTTCTAAAACCCTCAGAGTCCTTTACCTCACTGAGCCTCTCAGTCTGACAGGACAGAACTCTCCCTCCACATTATTGTAGAAACAGCTTCTTTTATCCGTTAGCGCAGCAGAAGCTAACAACAATCCCGCCGGTACCGGTGCACCCCCTCTCTATCTATCTATCTATCTCTCTCTCTCCCTCACTTTGGCTGTGAGCTGCGGGCGCCAGATAAGCCAACATCCCCCACTTCATCACTTACAGCGCCCATCGTACAGGACAAATGGAAAATGTAACCGGGGTGAAAAGGGTGTTATCTTACTTAATTATGAATGTTGTTACATCAAGGCTGAAAATTCTCTTTTTTGTATTATATTTGTATTTAATCTTGTGGAAGTGCAGATCCCCTGTCCTCCACCAGGGGGTGCTGCAGCACCCCTACTTCCCACGGCCCTGCTTCCATCTGTGCACAAACTTATCTCGTGCCCTCATTGGTCATGTGCGCGTTCGTGTGTGTTGGAGGAGGGGCTCTGTAAGGAAGTGGCAGATTTTCTCCGGTTGTGTATTTTCAAATTCTAGCGATCTCGAGACGGTTTCTCAAACTTACCTACCCTACCTTTAAGTTCCATTATGTGTACAGCATTATCCTATTTTATTTGTTCTCTGTCCCTCCAGAGCTCCCACAGCATCCTGTCTGTGAGGAGCAGGTTCTCTCTGAGCAGCAGCTCTGTATTCAGGAGAGGAACTCCAGTCTGGACCAAGAGGACCCAGAGCCTCCACAGATTAAAGAGGAGCAGGAGGAGCTGTGCACTAGTCAGGAGGGAGAGCAGCTTGGACTGGAGCCGGAGACTGATGCCTTCATGTTGACTGCTACTGAGGAGGAGAGTGAGCACCAGCTCCTCTCTCACAACTCTCATGTAGCTGAGAGCCAAGATCAGAAAGGAGGCGTGCAAGCCTCAGGATCAACTGGACATGCAGAGCCAAGACCACAGAATCAACACCGCAAACGTCACCAAAGCAAATTGTCAGAGATGCACTGTGATACTCGGCAAGACTCAGGAGAGTCTGCAAGAGATTCAGAGCCAAAAAAACTGAATCAACATCCTGAAAGCAGTAACAATGCAAACAACACTGATTTGTCCGAGATGCAAAGTGATACGCACACAGGGAAACAGCCTTTAAAATGTGACAAATGTGAAAAATATTTTAAGTACAGGTCATCACTGGAAAGACACCTGATAATTCACACCGGGGAGAAGCCATATTCCTGCAATACGTGTGGGAAAAAATTTACTCAGAAGTCAAAGTTGAACTATCATACAAAAACCCACAAAGGTGAGAAGTCATATTCTTGCAAAATTTGTGGAGAAAGTTTCAAATACGATCGCCTATTAACAGTCCACATCAAACGGGAGCATGCAACATCTGTTGGAAAATATTTGACCGGCCACAAGTGTAAAAAAAAATCGTATTAGAATCCACACAAGTGAGAAGCTGTGTGGAATATTTCCAATACTACACAGCCCACGTGGAAACACACACAGGGGAAGAGCTTCCAAAGATCCACGAGGATCAGGAGGAGCTGTGCACCACTCAAGTGACTGGATTGTTTATTCATTTTGAACGCTTTCAGAATGTTCTTCTTTACACTTAAAAAATTAACTTGAGGAATATGATGGTGATCATGATGATGATAAAAAAACTCCAATTGGACTATGACTAATACACTGAAGGAAGGAACTATTTTCTTAAGAGACACCTGCTTGTTCACAGTGGAATGTAACTACATTTACTCAAGTAATGTACTTAAGTATAATGTTGAGATACTTGTACTTTACTTGAGTATTACCATTTTCTTAAATGTTTAACTTCTACTCCTGTACATCTCAACGTTTCTTTTTACTGCACTACGTTTATTTGAGACTTGTAGTTAACATAAATTACATGATAAGGAACATGTGTTCATATACACACTATTATTCTCCTTGGGAGTACACAAAGTATTTGTTCCACATTGAGGAAATACAATATAAAAACATTCTTATGTTTTTGTTCAGGACAAAAACAGGATAATATAATATTCTCTGATAACAGTTTATAGAAGAGCGATTCTGTACAATGAGTACTTTTACTTTTGATATTTTAAGTACATTTTAATACGTTTGAACTCTTAAAGGTGGGGTATGTCATTTATTTCAGAAACACTTTTTGTTATATTCCATGGAATGCTCTTAACATCCCGATAGCAATGAATATATTAAATGCTTTGACAATAAATACATACAAAAATGTCATCTGTGGAAGCCGTGGCGCTGTAAAAAGCACGACCAATCATCTGAGCCGGCCCGGCTAAAATAACTGGATGGCCTACCTGCCTGTCAGCCTTCCATCTGTGCACAAACTTATCTCGTGCCCTCATTGGTCATGTGCGCGTTCGTGTGTGTTGGAGGAGGGGCTCTGTAAGGAAGTGGCAGATTTTTTCCAGTTGTGTATTTTCAAATTCTAGCGATCTCGAGCTGGTTTCTCCAAAATAACCTACCCCACCTTTAAGTAACATTTTTAATTCACAACTTTTTGTGTTTTGCAGCGAGTCATCATAGGCTAACAGATGACTCAATACACCAGAATAGTTGTTAATTAACAAGGATAATCTGGTGTTTTTGAGTTGATGAGTAGTGCAGATATCACTGTCAAATCAATCGACAGTAAGGGGAATACTTACTTCCGGGTGTACAATTCTCCGTTATCCAATGGGAATGGACGCTCACATTGCCTTTAACAGCCGCCGACACAAACGAATGCCATGCTTCCATGAGCGTCAAATCCCGCCGCAGATGGGAATACATTGCAATCAGTTGAAAGCCATTTGCTTCCCTTTATGAAGCTGAAGGAGCCTAGGAGCGTCCCAACTGCACGCCTCGGGACCCTGACCAAGCGTCGCTCCTGGACGTTTATGGAGTGAGAGTGTGTTGACCGGGCGCGTTTCAGAACCGGAGCATCTTGCGTGCCGGCTCGCAGTTTTTGTTGATTTGGGCATATTTCCTGGACAGGCTACTTTGTACAGACAAAGTTAATATAATATTGTAATATTCCAGTTATAAACTACATGAATCAAAGATGTGTTGCTGTATTTTAGTTGTAAAAAATGCATTCATCATCATAATTATTCTATAATATATATAATTTGCACAGTGCCATGTAAACCGGAGGAGAACGCTGGCATTTCTCCTCCTACTTGAAAGACTATGGAGGGATAGGTCTGCAAATTTGTTTATTTTGGGGATTGACTGGATGCTCTGACCGGTCCACTTCCTGCCCGGCGCCTCTGCAACGCCTCGCGTCGCCTCGAAAATAGACTTGCATCCTATTTTGAGCGAAGCCCAGCGCCGAGACGCTTCTGGGACGCTTCTGAGCCGTAGCGCGGCGCGTCTGGTGGAATAGCACCCAATAGGCGCGTTCACACCGGAGTACTTTTCCCACAATAGTTAATCAGAACTACGATATATTTGAGTTCACACCAAAAAGCCCCAGGAACTAAAGTAGTTCAAATTAGTTCATCTGACCCGCTTTTCAGTCCCTGCTAGAGAGCAGGGACTGTCGTGGAAGAAAATAGTTCATACGTCTGATTGGCTGTGCGGAATGCAAACCACGCCCGTTTGACTCTGAATTTTTTTTTGTAAGCGGCCATTGTATTTGCTCGCTTCGGGCAGCGCACCCGAAGAGATTACTTTTGTGAAAGCAGTTATTATAGCAACACTAAATAAATCATCGGAGCGGTGGAGTGATGAGGATGTGTCGGCGCTTCTGGCGATTTACTCGGAGGACGCGAAGCGCCGCATTCAGAAGCTTCTAATGCAGTTTCCGTGGCTCAGCAAAGTTAGCAGACCTGGCAAAGTCATGTCGGGACGACTACGAAGGTAAAATAAAATACATGCACTGCACTGTTTTAATCTGCACAATACTGGTCTTAGATGTACTTTTATTTGCTCAGTAGATCGAGCTAGCCATGCTAGAACTTGCTATCATAGGTCCAAGCTGGCTAACAACATCTAGCTAGCTAGCTATTCTCAGCCGTGCCTGCTATGAACACGTTTTGACTTGTGAATAAGTGTGCAATGTTCTGTAATTTGCTTCACTAACTCATGGCACTAATCGTGTGTTTAGAAACTAGTTTTCCCCTCCGGGATAAAACGATAATATAACGTTAGCAATTAGCATGCTAGCTGGACATAATGCTACCTCTAACAATACATTGTAGTTGCTATAATTTCAAGTCATTTGCAACATTCATTCTACATGTTAATGGTAAAAGCTTAAACAGTTGATTACCTGCATGCCACAAAGACTGATATTCTAATATTTTTGCACATTTAAGTAGAAATGTAATTGAAATTCTATTTATTTTTCCTTTTTTTTATTGATTGTTATAATTGTACTCAGCCATGTTATGTTAGATGTCAATCCACTTACACTGGAACTACTCTGGCCTTGAAAGAAGGTTACACATCTAACTGATGTCCACTAATCCCAATAAAACAAAGTTCAAGCATACATTAAGCACAAAACAATAAATAAGGGCACTTTGATATTTATTTTTTATTTGATATTATTTCATCCTATCTTATCTTCTACTTTACACCTGCATTTTGTACACTGTCCCTGCCTGCACCATGTCCAATGTTGTCTCTGTTGACAACCTACTAGGCGATTAAACTGATCTTGTATCTTGCTTATTTCTCTTTAGGAAAGCGGGCACGGGATGACAGCTTCCTTGACACCATCATAGCGATGGACTGCCGTGCCATGGTCAGCAAGGAGAATGAGGACCTGCGTGCCAAGGAGATGCACGACGAACGGCTGCTGCATTCACACAAGGCCCAGGAATCGGACGACCAGCTGCTCATGGTGATGCAGCGCCATGCTGACTCGGCGGCGCGCCAGGTGGAGGTGTCGGCGCGCCAGGTGGAGCAACAAAATACCTTTCAGGCTGGGCTTCTGGAAGTGCAAAGCGAGCTGATTAAATCCAACAGGCCTTCAATAAAAAAATTAAGAAAACTTGTCGTCGTTGATAAACTGTACAATGACTTGTTGGGAGTCGTGTGGTGTAGTGGTCTGGTGCGTTGGTGTTCGGATCAGGGGAGCACAGGTTCAAACCCCACTGCAGTCAGCATGTCGTTGTGTCCCTGGGCAAGACACTTCACCCCAAATAGCCTAAACCTGGGACAGTTAATTTTGTATTATTGTGATTATATATATATATATATATATATATATATATGCCACTGTTATTAATACTGACACTTCACTTTGCACTAAGGTGTGTCTGCTGCTGAGCCTATCTATTGTTATTATTTATATATATATATATATATATATATATTGATACTACTGACTTTATTTGATATTGAAAATGTTAACTTGTATTTACATGCATACGACACACCTGGGACAGCGTGATGCTGTTATTGATATTTTCTTGAGTGTGCAATAAAAGAGAACCTACATGGCGATTAAACGGAGCCTGTATCTTACATTTTTCATTACATTTCATGTAACTAAGCTTGCTTATTTCTCCTCTGACACTTTATCTTTACAGTGACCTGTGTAGCATCCTATACATCACATGTAAGTGATTATTCTGATACCATCATGTTTAATCTGTTATAAACTGGCGTAGTGTTGTGAGTTCAATATTTTGAATTAATTATAGTAAGGGAACATCTTAGGAGTTAGTGTGAGTTTCAGAGCAGTGTAATAATTATTTGACCTAAAACTAAATGTTTTTATGAACATGACATGGGGATTTGCTAACTTTTGATTTCCCCCATTTTACACGACACAAATGGAGGCCACTATGGGCCACAAATAACACGTAGGTTTCTGTAGGGTTCATGGCAGACGGATGCAGTTGTTCTCAGGAGGATATATAATAAAGGTGTGTTAGCTGCTAAGCCTATTTAGTGTGCATACGACACACCTGGCACAGTTTATTCATTTCACACGTAGCGTAGCGCGTGCATGTCGTCGTCCAATCCTTTTGTCAATCCTTCTTAACCGCCTTCGCTTCCGAATCAGCATTGCTATTGCATTTGACTGGTCGACGATCTGTATTTGTGTTTGCTTAAATAACTCAGACGAAGCTCATGTCTGCGGTCGGAAGGTAAACAGACGCCTCATTTACAGCAAGTGGGCGCGGGGAGGTTTTTCTTCTTCTTTTTCTCTCGGTTTTTTTGGCGGATTGCAACTTTAAGGTGCATACCGCCACCTACTGTACTCGCCGTGAAGTTGTTTGCGGCCTGCCAGTAAACCCAAAGCAGAAGAAGAAGAAGTGACGTCAGCGGTTCATTTGCCTAATCCACCCCCAGGAACTCATTTTGGTGTGAATGCGATCTGCTTTAGTTCATCAGAACTAAAAGAGCTCTCATGAACTAAAGTTCTCATGAACTATTGTGGGAAAAGTACTTGGTGTGAACGCGCCTAATGACTAGAGTGGCCGCGATCTTTGCGAACGCCGCAGCGCAGCCGAAACGCGGCCGTAACGCGACGCAGACGGACCCGGTGGAATCTAGGGGTAAGCGCGCCACAGTTTCGCTGCTGCGAGGCTCCACTAGCCACTTACGTATAGGACAAAGCAAATAAATACGCACAGACATTTTCGGATTCATAAAACACTGCGTACCGGC